CTCCCCGAGCCTATAGCGATGCTTGGGGTTTTTATACCCCAAGTGAAGGACTCTGCACTTGGCCTTATTAAAGCTCATGCCGTTGGCCTCAGCCCAACGATCCAGTCTGTTCAAATCCCTCTGAAGGGCCTCCCTACCCTCGAGCAGATCGACACAGCCTCCCAGCTTGGTGTCATCCGCAAATTTACTGAGGGTACATTCAATCCCCTCATCCAGGTCATTGATAAAGATGTTAAACAGAACTGGACCCAGTACTGAGCCCTGGGGAACCCCACTGGTGACCGGCCTCCAGCCGGATTTAGCCCCATTTACCACCACTCTTTGGGCCCGGCCATCCAGCCAGTTTTTAACCCAAAAATGCATTTTATGTTGCATTTTAAAGACTTCTGCTTTATGAAGGAAAATACAGCAACTTCTGTTGGAGATTTCTATATCCTTAGCGCATCTTGAACACGTTTCAAAAAGAATTCTGTTACCATACCCTAGAATAAACCACACATTTTTCAGAGAATGCATTGATCTAGATCTGGCATTCCTGATGCAGTTATTGGAGATCAACAGACAAACCAGGAGCACAGGTATAACAGTGGGAGTCGGGTCAGAAGCTGAAAGCCATGTTATGCTGCTAGTGCTGGCACAAATGAGGCCACATCTGAGGTCTTGTGACGTGACCTAAATATTAAGGGCAACCTCTACCACTTTAAGTGTTTACAGCTGTACTTCTGAAAAATGATTTCTGGAGACTAAATATGAGCAGTTGCAAATATTCAGACATATTACTTGTGCAGGACAGTATATGCTCAGCCTAGAAGAGTGCTATAAACGTCCTGTCAGCTTCACCCAAAAGCACTCACTTCAGAGTTCCCGTCTGCACGATTGTAAACACAAAAAGAAGTCTAACACTGAAACCAAACTCTGACAAAACTCTACCTGTGTTAAAAAGGACAGCCAGGCTGAAACTAAGCTCAAATAAAGCTTGATTTATTCTATCCTTTAGACAGTTGGCCCCTCAAAGAATCATATTTATCAAAACAGTCTATCATCAGTAAGATAGATGACTAGCCAGTAAACTACTCAAGTGACAGCATGGCTTATTTTTGTCATCAGTAAAATGAGCTTGAGTACTAGCTTTACTAAATGCTATCTAAATTATTCTGTCTCTGCTGTCAAATGTTATTCTTACACAAAGTGGGTAGGCTTGAGATAGCCTGGCTAACTTAAGTTCCAAATAGTACTACTGAGGGAAAACAACCCCGTCACTTGGAATTATTCACTTAGCTTTACAACCTACTTTTTCCTGTTCATAAATCTAGAGATTAATAAGAGTAATACTATACCAGAAAGTATGTTGTTCAGAAAATAACCACACCTCTTAAGAGTCTGGAGGCAATGTGAGTTCAGCTCAGCTGTGCTTTCCATCCTAGACAGTTGCCTCTTAGGTGTCATCTCAGGATGCATTCATTTTGCAACTATGCTCTTTTTATCTGCTAAAGCAAGCGGGATCATAAGATGGCTGTTTTTAAAATGACCAACTTAACAAATTAGGCCATGTCTAACACTAATGTGGCTGAATGGAAGAAACAAAAACTGTTTGCATGTATGTTTGTGTGGGTGGGGTATCCATGCAACCCGCTGAGCTGTCCCAGGGCCACAGTTGCATCTCGCTGGTTAACGATATGGAGTCCTACAGTTTCAACAGTACCATCCAAGGCCTGTCTTGAGCTTAGGCAAACTATTTGGCTATCACAGGGAGGGCACAGCAAAGGTCAGTCCCTCTCTTCCACACCAGTACCTTCACTACTAGGGTATCCCGCCAGAGAAGATCACACTGAATTGCACAGAAGACGACCAGAGAGGAGGCCTTTACATGTTATACATCAAATACACATTGGAAGAACAACAGAAACAACAGAAGCACTAAGTTGCACAAGACATCCCTCACAGCCCCCACAATCCAGCTCACTTTCCATCAGATGAAAGTCAACTACCCTCTACTTAAATAGGGGAGCCCACATATCCCATGGCTGAGGACAGCTTTCATTTTGCGCAGCCCAAGCACACACTTTTACCACAAAGTTGCTGTACAGAAATGCCCTTTGCCTCTTCTCCAGGCTCTGAATAGATGGGAGGACCATATCTGCACACGCAGTCTGGTGCTACTCCAGCAATAGAGGCAGATGAGCAGGTATGAGGAGGTGTCTTACATCTCCTACTGGTTACCTTGAGCCAATTTCCTGGTCAGCATGTAGACTTTCTGCTCTTCAGAAGAACCTCCATTGATTATAAATAAAGCATATAGTGCAATCTGGCCTGTCCTGTAAAGATTATGTAAATCTTTTGTAGTTGTTCATATATTGGAAGTCTTCCTCTGTATTATTTTATGGTGATTTTAAAAGATTTTGTAGTGATTTTAATGTCTTTACTCTGCCACTTCATTCTTCTTTAAAGTATGGGACTTAAATAAGGAGTTTATATTGCTGTTTAAAATGTTATATTGTGAAGCATTTATATTAATTTTTAAGCAGAATGTATTTCTTTAGTAGATTTAGGTCAGACTATCCGATTAGAAATAGAGCCATTAAAGTATCAAATACCTAGTTTTCCCTAGGTCAGAAATGCCTTCTCCTTATTTTTTAAATTAATTTTCTTAAAAAATCACAACGATTAACTAACATTTTTTTCTAAAAATAAAAAGAGACAAAACAAGGCTAGGAAAAATAACAGAAGCCTTGCTATTATCTCAACACATTTGTTACAGTGTACTAACTAAAAATATACCAAAACCTCTTCACTTGTATTTTACGGTTTTGAATTAACATTCACTTTCAGTCTTTCTTACATCTGAAGATACCACACACTGTAAAAGGTTAATACATCTCACAGTTATTTGGGGCAGAAAAACAAAAAATAAAGCCAAGCGAGGAATTATGTGTGTTTTTCACTTAAGCCAGCCAAGCGGGAAGAAAGTCTCCTGGGAATGATTGCCCAGTGTTTTGCAGTCTACACAGTGTTTTTGTAAGTTTTTGGTGAATATATAAAAAATCTAAAGGAAAGAGCTTGAGAATTTTTCAACTGGGAGCAATATTTCCATGTCCTCCTTACCAAAACTCTCTACCGGATTTCAGTACTATATAACACATATTGCCTATTGGTGTTACATTCAATACGACAAAAAACTTCTGAATGCATAAAGCTGTATCAATTTATCTTACAATTCAAAATGTAATTCAGAATGTAATTCATATGGAAGGCAGCGTTCCACCAACTGAGCTCTATTTATGGCTCCTGGCCTACAGAATTACTGATGGTTTGAAGACAGCTGGCTCTCTCTTGGCACTCAAAGCTTTCAGTTATTTCTACAGATATCTTGGCTCCTCTGCTTCAAGCAAAGTCTGGTGGCCTTAAGGAGCCAAACAAGGAAACAAGGAGGACAAAGCCTTGCTATCACATAAAAAGAGGAGGAAAAATGAGCTGCCCTGAGGAGGTGCCCAAACATCAACAGAGGAACTAAGTCTTTGGAAACAAGCAGAACAAAAATGCAGTATCCTGTTCCCCAGCTAAGTAAGGAGAACACGGATACAGATGAAACGGACATTGTAGCAAGATGCAAGGAAGTAAGGAAGTAACAGACCAATCAAATGGAACAAAGGGGAGGGGGACGTAAATAGTGAGAAAATAAACTTTAAAACTGCAATTAACAAGTATATGAAAGAACATACACCATGTTGCAGAAATAAGAGTTAAAAACACCCAGAATCTTTCCTCGTGTAACTATCAATATCTAGCCATACCATTCTATCCATAGGAAAGAAGTCAATAATGACATAATTTTATAACATACACACAAATTGGAATATAACAGCAATATAGTTAAGAATCTTTTCTTTTAAGACATCTTTGACTTCAAAGGCCTGTTTATTTCTTTTACTAAATTCAAATTTAAAGATGAACACCAGAAAATAAATAAGCACTTTTACAAAAATGGAAGTATCAACCAATTGAAATCAACACGGATGCAACATGAAGTATAACATCCATTAACTAAAAAAAAAAATTAAATAACGAACAAATCAGTACATAAGGATATGTCAGCAATTTAATCACTTACAGGCTCTCCCCGATGTCCTTCCAGGCCTGGAGATCCAGGCTGTCCAACTTCTCCCTTTAAAGTAAAAAAGACCATTAAATACAATCTTCAAAAAAAACCCTTCCTTTGCATAACAAAAAATATTTTAAATAGTAAATTATTACTTTTAATATAAGTAAAATGTAAAACCAATACACATGACCAAGGCTTCAAACAAACATCTTTCAAAAACAGTTTCAAACATAGTAAGGAATGTTGTCAATCTTACATTCCCTCATGCTGTGTCCAAGAGACAGCTGTCAAACAGTTTGCAGAAAGAGTTGAGAGACAGACAACTGTTTTTTGAATCAGAATAGCAATCACTGGTTGAAGAAGCACATAAAATAGTAATAAATGGCTTTCGTCTAATTGTTAGTACAACTAATAGTCTGAAAACTATTTCAAAGCACTCCAGAATACAGTAGCATCAGATATGATCAAATGTTTATGTCTTTACTCAAAATATGTGTGATACCAAAAATATTCTGAAAATTTGAAGAATAATTCCAGAAATAAAAGCACATAAAACAAATGCAAAGATCAATCTCTCTATGTAAAAGAAACTGGTAATAATTAACTTAAAATTACAAAAACTGGACTTGAAGTAACAATGAGTAGCATCTGGGTTTCAAGCCATGCTTTTTTCCACATTCTTTCCCACAATGAATATTGTAAGACAACAGAAAGCTTCAGCTGAAATTTCCTTCAAAGACAGCCTGTTTGTTACTGCTCTGAATTTGATTATAGACCTAGAATGAAGCAATGTTTTATAGCAAGCAGATGTTGAAGTCAAGCTGACAAAATGTTTGAATGAAGAATATGGCTTCTGTTAACTATTATATTATAAAATGAATAAAAACTAATGAGTATGTCACATATTTGTACTACAATAATTAAATTAAGAAAATAGTCAAGAAAATGTCTTTCAGTTTAAATGTACACAGATTCACACAACTAATATACTGAATTATCTGCATATTGTTTACAAGCATAAAAACAGATCAAAATACTCTCCAAATTCATGCTTTATCAACATAATACTTCACTCTAAAGGGCCACCAGTGACAGTTAAAATTTTATGTTAAACAACTGTGACTATTATCTATCTATATTATCAAATTCCAGAGAGCAAAAAATCTAATATCTAATTTAGAAGGAATTTCTCCACCAACTTAGCAGAGACATCTGTGTGTGTAAATACATGTGGAAGGAGAGAGAAAATAAGGCAGGATTCATTTGAAATAAATTCATGTAGGTAACTAAGCTCTTATCACAGCCAACACAATTCTAGTCAAGACAGTTGATGGACGCTTGATTCAGCTGACCAGCCACCAAAAGCTCAATTTCATTGCCCATACACAGACATTTGGTCATATTTGAGACCCCCAAAGGCGTCTTGTCCGGGTTCTTACTCCCGCTCCAGAAAGGCACTGGCTTTCCATAGGACTTATGTCATATTTGTCAGCTCCCTTAGGATGCTTTGGACAGTAATGCATCTTAAATGCACCAGATGTTTTTATGTAGGCAATTAAACCAGTACCTACAAGTCTGCCTTCTTTGAGCTGAATTGCTCTCCAGGCTCCACTGGCATTACTGGTTAGACCTCTGTCTACTTTAATGGCACCACAGGTAGCTACTACATACATAGATACAAACTTAGTTGAATGTTTTAAGAATATCTCTTAAATTGTGTTTGCCTGACGTATTTGCAAGTATCAGAGATACATCCCTTTGTAGATATATATTAATAATAACAATTTGTAGGCAGGTATCAATGGGATTTGGACATTAAAATGAAATTAATGTAGGAGTATGTAAAACTAAATCAAGTAACAAATAAAGAAAAAAGTCCTTCAGTATCGTAGAAATAATCTGCTGCTGGTTGCTGAAGTTAACTTCAGAAAAATAAGCAATAAGAAAATATTGTTTTCCATAATTAAGATTCACAACTTTTTTTACTAACGCATTTTAAGAGTGCAAACTCACGGGCAGTAAAAAAAAAGCAGTACACCAATATGACATAAAATAAAGTTATTCCGTTACCTTTTAGTAAAGTCTCATTAGGCTTTCCAAGGAGAACAAATAAAATAGGAAATATTGAGTTTACCTACTGTAAAAGTTAAATTTTAAACATAGTTTTTAAAGGCTGTTATTTTAGATGTGTTCTCCTAATAAATTTTTGAATTGCAGGATACTTAGTTATACATTGAAGTTGGGTGATTTTTAGAATAACAGTGTTCTAGTGCTCTACGTGATAACTCCTTACTTTAAGTTCAAATTAAGGTGCCTACATGTGTTTTTCTACCTGAAGTTGTCTAGAGACATGTTATGGATCTAAGATCCCATTATAGTGAACAGGGGCTCGATTCAGTTACCTAATCACAAATGCCTGGTGCTATCTGAGGTGCTCTGGGGTAGCCAACATTGGGCTGGCAGGTACCACCTACAGGAGACCTGTGTCCTTCTGAAATGGCACTCACAGGTCATCTGGGGTACCCAAAACCAGCAAATAGGACTGCGATCTCACAAAAGTTATAGCAGTTGAAAGTCAGCAGCTGAATTACTTTAGAGGCTCCATTTCTTACATTTACTGTAAGAGTTTGATTCAGTTGTCAACCCATAGTCATGTAGAGCCATTTCCTGCTGCAAATAAGGGTGAAAAACTTTTCCCCATGAAGACACTCAAGGATGGAACAAGCTACCCAGTTGTGCAGTCTCCATCCTCAGAGGTTATCAAGACCCAGCTGAGCAATCTCGTATGGATATAGTGCTGTCCCATTTATAAGCCAGAGGCTAGTCCAGAAGATGCCCCAAACAAAGCCCCCTTCAGCCTGAGCGAGCCTGGGATCCTGTCAGATTCACTTTGTTGGCAGCTGCTGCCTGGGATTGTTTAGGTCTCACAGGTCTTGTGTCATATCTCCATGCTGCAGCGGATGTCACACATGGTATCCTCAACTGCTCTAGACAAGCATGGTCACGAAATGGAAGAAAGAACCAGATCCCCCACTACAGTAATAGGAATTTAGACAAATGCACTTAAAAGTACACTGGCATTTTTGGACTCTGAAGGAACATTAATCTTGAGCAGTCCTAGGTCACCTTATTATTGTGAAGAAAAATCTTATAGGAACAAAGCTGCTGCTAAAAAGCTTCTTTAGATCAACTGAACATCTACATTGCATATTAATAAAAACTTTTCCTGTGAACTTAAAATTGATAATGCTAAAGTTCATCTTTTCACAAATTAGAACAGTGCAAACAAAAACTAGGTAAACAAAACATCCAGTGAGCTCACAGACTGCAATATGTTATAGAAATATAAGATCTTGTAGTCTTTTATAGTAGACAGATAGTTAGTCCACTTGAAAAACTGTTCTAACTAAATACAAAAAGCACTGCATAGTGAAGAGAATAGAACATAAACATGAATCCAATACTGAAGGTGTTTTCCCTTAACTTTCAGCCAGCTCCCTTCAAAAGAAATAATAATAATAATATTACTTCCTTCTCAACAGTACACAAGTATGTTTTGCAGCACGTGCTTATACATAAAACTCATTAACAGATTTGCAGAGTTAGAGAAGCACAAACAGGGTAACAGAGACGAAGCATAAACAATCTCTGATGATCACTAATAAACTCTTGATAAAAGCTTTGTCCCTGCTCACAAACCAACTGAAATCAATGAAGTCTGCCCGTTGACTGCAGTAAACTTTGGCATTTCCCAGTAACGCACATTATTTTAATTTCTAGTAATTCTCCACAGAATAAACTGGGTATATTTAGGCTAATAGCAATGCTATTGAAGACTGGCAAAATATGAACATACATCTATGAAGACAGGCTGAGAGAGTTGGGGCTGTTCAGCCTGGAGAAGAGAAGGCTCCAGGGTGATCTTATAGCAGCTTTCCAGTACCTAAAGGCGGCCTACAGGAAAGCTGAAGAGGGACCTTTTACAAGGGCAGGGAGTGATAGGATAAGGGGCAATGGCTTTAAACTGAAAGAGAGCAGATTTAGATTAGATCTAAGGAAGAAATTTTTCCCTCTGAGGGTGGTGAGGCAGTGGAATAGGTTGCCCAGAGAAGTTGTGGATGCCCCATCCCTGAAAGTGTTCAAGGCCAGGTTGGATGAGGCTTTGGGCAACCTGGTGTAGTGGAGGGTCTCCCTGCCCATGGTAGGGGGCTTGGGACTAGATGATCTTTGAGGTCCCTTCCAACTCTAACCATTCTATGATTCTGTGATTCTATGATTTGTACATACCTTGAAACCAGGACTTCCCGGTAATCCATCTTTCCCACTTCTGCCAGGGTCTCCCTGTGGCAATGGTTAACAGTCATCAGTAAGTCAATTAACAAGCAGAAGTTAAAGGCAAACTGTCTTCATAAAACTTACGGATCGCCCAGG